TACACTCAATCATCTCTGCCTTCAAACACGATTCTCCAAGCATTTGAGAACTTCCTCGATACTTTGGATACTACGCCAGTCGGAATGACGAACAAAACCCGCGACTATGGTGACTTGAGAGTCACGCTTACCAAGGACCTCGTATGGAAGTGGAATGAGAAGGATACAGGTGCTGCCCGGTATGGGGAGTTCTATCTTGCGAACTCCCAAGGTGCAATGCGTCCTGTGGGATCTTTTGGTCAAGACAAATGGGATGACCAGAAAGATAAGAGAGCTACGATCTTAGTTGGAAACGTTCCTGGGAGTTCTGGGACGCCAGCTGTTGCAAGCCCTACTAGTTACGACTGGGTGTGGGACGACCGGGGCGGCGGCGGCAAGTATGATGGCACAGTCTGGCGACCTATTGCGCCTACTGGGTATGTCTCGCTGGGGGACGTCTGGACGAGCAGCTACGAACGTCCATCAACCAATGCGATATGGTGTGTTCGATCGGACTTGACTATGCAATCGCACTACAACCCGAACAGCCTCTGGGACGACACAAAATCCGGAGGTAATCACGACTGTTCAGTGTGGTCGATTATTCCCCCCCAGATTAGCATACACGGAACCGAGAAGGTTACAGTCCTTTCCGATTGCCACAGGGCTATCAAAGCATATCGACAGCCTTCCTCGGACCTTGCCAGGGTTCTAGTACTTCCTTGTCCAAAGAATTTCAAATCTTTCAGTGCAAGACCGCCAACATTCACCAAGGACACAATCCCTCGCGAAGGAGACCTGTTCAGCCAGCTGCAACAGTGTGAGGTTGAATTACCTTTCACGGCCTTTTTTCCACCAACACATGTCACGAGCTTGGGCATGATATCTGATCCGTTTTGCAAGCTTGGGAGACGTACTGCATGGTTGGTTGAAAAACGACACTCCAATAACGGTGGAGGTACTATCATTGACGAGAAGACAATCAAGAAAGGTATCTCTACGACGCAGTCACAAGAGATGGTGCACTCAGCTGGTGTAGAGATCACGTCGTCCTTTGGTATCAAGGCTTTGGGTGGAGGCATAGACGTCAGTCTCAACTATCAGTTCACCTCGACACAATCCTCTTCGTATAACGAATACGAAGAGTTCACCGACAGACGACAATACAACGTACCGCCCTACACCTGTTCAATATTCCTTACTGAACGTGTTTGGCTCGTAGCTACTCGCACTGACGGCTCTTTCACTCTATCGGAGATCCAATACAACACTACCGACGGTATGAACATCGAGGAAGTTAAGCTGAACTGAATCAATTCCACAGCTGTTATGTTTCAGTTGTACTTGTCGCTCATTATCATGTACCATTCCTATTGTTCACTCGTTTAGAATGTACGCGTCCTGTTTCGGTCGCTCACTATCATGTATTAGCTATCCAGTTCACTCACTCAACATATACACATCCCACTTTTGTTTGGAATTCTGGAGAACTGTAATGATACTCAAGTATCGCCGGTGAAAGGACTCTTGGTAGTTAAGACTAAGAAATGTTTGACACGTCTTAAAAACAACGTAAGTGTTGCATCGCAAAAGGACAGTTTTCTCTTTTTCTCCCTATTTGCTGAACTTTCAGTGTTGCTACATCCTTAATAACTCCCCAGGTTGTGTTGAAGGACCTGTGTTAGTCATGGTTTCGAAGCACTTGCCGCCCATCTACCCTTGACAAACCTCGTTCCCATTATCCTGTACGCAGACTGTTTCGCTAGTCTTTCCGAAAGCTCCAACCTGCTTCTTGATTTGTCGGATCATCCCGTAATTCGGACAGATCTATTCCAGGGATGACCCGGTCCCTGGCTTCCTCTGGCTGGATAAGGAGAAGCTGTTTCAATTGAGATTAACACAGCTCCACTGGGTCGTGATTGAACCATCGCAATGCCTGCATGTCCAGCTACAGACTTTTGTATGATAGCCGCTGGCCGTTATCTAACCAATGGACGTAGCCAAGGGACGTGATCTGATTCCATATCTTTCGGCCAAAAGTGCGAAGTTCCAAGGCCCAGTACATAGGTGAACGGCTGGAGAATACCAAGAATCGATCCTGCGTTTCATCTAGAAGTTCTGCAGGAAATTCCACCTCACCCGATTCTGCGACAACTGCGCGTTGCATGACGAGGAGTTATGCTATCTTAATGAAGGCTGACAAATGGTGGGTGAAGACTTTTGGTTCACGGAAACCTTTGCGCTCTTTATTGATGCCCATGACAGCAAAAAAAACCGACGACCACTGTGATGGGCTAGAGCCCGACTCAACCCGCGTTGACTGGCGCGCCGTCGTCATCCTCATCCAAGCTTCACACAATAAACTCGGGGTACCACAAGCACGGAGCAATCCAGCTACCCTCCGATATCTTCGCGTGGGACAGGTCAAGACATGACTACTCGGCGCCGCGAAGGGATCGGGGGTTGTGGCGCAGTCGTGGCGCAGTCGTGGCGCAGCCGTGGCGGTGAACGTTGGGCGGTTCAGCCTAATGGAAACGACACGAGGCACCTCCTCGTCCACTTTAACGACAGCCTTTGATCATGCTTCCGATCATCCATGTTAGGGTCTTGATTCTGGAACAGGCCACGAGATGTTCACCTCACCGCCCAATGTGGAGTTGCCTCAGGCAGACTCAGAATCTCGTGTCGTCGTGATGGCTTTCGGTCCTGTTGGCACCGCGTCGTTTGCTGCGCCTACTTCACAGTTCTGCCTGGGGAAGACTAAGGTATAAAGATGTCTTGCATCTCCAGTCAGATCGAAGATCGTTATAGTCGTTTGATCACGCCTCCTTTTTATCATTCAAACACGGAGACAATGTCACTTCGCATCACTCCCATCGCTAATGCCGCCGCTTCCGCTTGGTCGCAGGGCGTTGCGAGTCAGACAGCCAACCTAAACGTCGTTCCCGATGACATTCACCACCTCATTCTCTCCGATATTGTGGACACATCACCCGCAGACCTACTGAATGTGGCACAATCTTCCGAAGTCTTGCACGATGCGGCATTGCCTTACATATATCGTAACATCATCCTGAATGGAGAGTCAACGGCATACCAGGCACTCGTGGAGAAGCTCTCCAAGAATGAGCACGGTGACCTTACGAAGCATATCCGCAGTATCACCGTCAAAGACGAGGTACCCTCTGCAGACCTGATTACGATACTCAACAAGACTATACAGCACAGGAATCTTCGATCACTCAAGTATGTTCCTTCAACCGGTTCAAGATACTGATACTGACTCTCGTAGTTGGGAGACTTCCACGCACATACCTCCGGCAGTATACGACATGATCCACGCGATGTGGCCGAAGCCTGAGATACGCGTTATTGTCGTCGACCGGAAGACGGCAAAGAGTGTTGCACATCGTCAGATGGACATGAAGCTCCTGTCATCTCCGCTTCTTGTTAGCTTGACCTACGAGGTATACATGCAGGGCTTCGCCCCCGAGCACCCTTGCCGATCCGAGTGGCCCCGACTCTCCCAAGCACTGGCGACTGGCGGGAACATTAGATCTCTTCGGCTACAAGTTTTGCAAGACGGTCATAACCTTTTCACACCCGATACGGAGCCGGCGAAGATACCGCGTCTCGATCTCACCACCGGTATGCGCCTACCTCTTCTCGAGGAGATGACTCTTCAGACTTTGAGATATCATGGCCAGACGGCGTATCTCTGGGATCCCGACTACTGTCGCATGTTTCGTGATGCTATCGACTGTTCCCGACTGCGTAAGCTTGACTTCGGCGGCGAACATCCCGAAAAATTCTTTTCTTGCTTCACGGGACTTTGCCCCAAGCTCAAAGTGCTGAGTTTTGGGATGTGGGAAGGTGACAAATCGCCTGCGAAGCGGTTCATCGAGTCGATTGATGCACTTGAACATCTCGACCTGTCACGAGCGCAAGCGGGTATAGACGACCTTTGGCCCGCTATTGAGCAGCACAAGGATACACTCGAGACACTGATCCTTGGGCCGACATTCGAAGCATACTGCCACAAGGTTGGCATGCCCTTGAGCCGTTTGAAGGACATCGCGCGGACATTTCCTAGGCTCAGGCATCTAGGCTGGGACGCACCCTGCGAACGCAACGTAAGCCACGCTCCCCCTTCCCAACTTATAGCCGCGCTAATCGTACCATTAGATCGATCCGCAACACCTGGTCGCCCTGGTAGGGATGAATCTTACGAAGCTTGATCTCTGGCTGCACATTCCCCAGGAAGCAAATGACTACAGCGAAAAGCTCGTACAGGATATCTGGGGCAACATCCCCCACCCCGAACTCAACAAAAAGAGTACTATCGCATGTGCGACCGGTATTGCAGATCGTCTTTTGGGATCCGGGCAAGGCGCGTTCAGGTGCCTCACTCTCCATCTTTCGCGAGAGGGGGCTTCGGATCGCTGCCAGCCGTACATGATGTACTCGAAGCTGCAACTTAGATTGAATGCGCGTTCCGAAAGGACAAGTGGAGATAAGTGGAATGTGCGCGGTAAGCTGGGCTGGTACTGGTCTCATGATTCCACTTTGATGGAAGATCTGCTTTTTGAGACAGAGTAGGGTGATGACAGTCAGGACGGAATACAAGATGGTTTCCTTCTTCGTATATAAACCTCTATGCATTCTCTCTTCCTTCCCGTCTTATGCTCTTTCATTAATTTTGGCGATGCTACTCGTGGTTTGGCTCTGTCATCCGCTCTATCCACTGGTACTGCGATGGCGCAGAGCGAGCGATGAGCCACTCACAACGCCCGCAATGCATCTCCATCCTATTCAGAAGGTACCCCTCAAATGAGAGAGATCGCAATCATCAGACTCTTGGTTGGCTCTTCGTATCTGTGGGTTGTGTGCGAACCACGGAACAGCTGTAGGTGTCGCAAGTCTGGTAGCGAACCGCGCAGTCATCCATCTACTCAAAAGGCTCTGCACACATCTGTCTTCTCTTTTGCACCACTCCATTTCTCTTAGCGGGGTGCGCTACGATGTACGAACATGAGCCAGAAGAACGGACTGATGAACAGGAGGTAGTAGTCGTCGATCAAACCCCCACACGAGAGCAGCGCCAAGCTGCACGACGCGCAGAGAAGTTCGAAAGAAGAGCCATAAGAAACCGCATAGCCCATCTCCACCAACTCCTCGCACGCGCGAGGGAAAAGGCATACGCGGCACATTACCGGGCGGCTGATCTGAGCAAACAAGTCGAAGAGGAACGGCCATCCCTCATCGAGGCCTTGCTTCCACACGAAAACCGCAAAGCAGCAAGATCGAAACAAAAAGCCAGAACGCACCACAAAGAGCTTCTTGACCGGTTCTTCAGACTGCCGAGAGAGATCCGCGATCTGGTATACCACCACGCCTGGAGTGGCACGATGATATCCTTCTACCAAGAGTTAACCTGGAACTTCGCGGAGCACGATACTATCCCCTCTGGCCCTATCATTACGGCTGAGTATTCATCTACTGGTACATACATAGCTAGCCAGATACAGCTACCGCCATGGGATCTTGCAGAACTAGAGACCGGGGACACGTGCAAGGGACCTAGACACGCGCAAGAGTACGCGTGGATATGGACTAGCCAGCAGATCTTCTCGGAGTCTACGGAGCAGTTTTATCGCTACACCCAGTTCACACGGCCTCGCCGGGCTGAGCGTCACTACTATCACACGTGCGCGCACATTGTTCCACGGCGCAAATTGTACCAGTCGACATACGCTTTTCCAAATATCCTCCTAGCACGCCACGTATTGCTCGATGTGGGATACGAAGTATGCCTTGAAGTCGCCAACGATGGTTTATCGGCCTCGATCCTGGAACTGCTGGCTATGGCGAGAAAGGGTGAAGAGAAGAAGGCGCTGCAGGTGAGTTGGATACGGAATATGGCGGACACACATTCGTTTCATCTTAGGGATCTGGTTCCGGCGAGTACGCCTCACTCTATGGCTAGTAGAGCGTTCGAGGAGCTTGTGTTAAAGGATTTGGAGAGGGTTGGCTGGGAGATTACGGTTGATGAAGAGCAAAATCCATATAACGGTTCGGCGGACTCGTAGAGCGAGAGCGAAATGGACAGGTGTTGCTAGCATAGTAGGCACAGGCGCAGCGAAGGACGCGATAGCCTAGTTGAACGGGAGTCATTGCCAGCGCCCGCCTCGATATTCGCAAATGTAACAAAATCTGTATCTCATCCTAGCCACTTCCCTTACTTATCGACCTACGAAACCATGAAGCCTTCTTGTCAACCGGAGGCGAGGCCAACTTCCTGGCGCGCATGGTCACCGATGAACCCGGAGCTACCATACTCTCCCAGAGATGCGGCGGAATAATGAGGTCGTCTTTCAGTAGATCGTACTCTCCGTTGTCGGCTAGCTGGGAGAGCACTGCTACGCCGGAGCTGACCTTTGCGATGAAATCCCGCATTCCCTAATGCAAGTTAGTTTGCGAACTCTAAGCAAGTTTGCAAGCTACTTACCTCCCAAGTGTTGCACAAACGCCAGGGGCATTCGAACTTGCGGCCGACTGCATCATGGAAGACGAGTGTCGCTGTTCTAGCTTTCTCCACTTCTTTTGCGTCTGCTATTGCCTTTTCAGCATGCTCTTTCTTTGCCTTTTCTATTTCAGCCTTCGCCTCCTGTTGCGCCAAAATCAGCTTTTCCACCCTGTCCATTTGACTTTCTTCCATCTCTGCCTTCAACTTTTCAGCAGCCTCTTTCTTTGCCTTTTCCTTTTCGATCTTTGCCTCCTGCTGAGATATAAGCAGATTCTCTAGTCTATCGAATTTCGCAAGTTCTGCATCTCTCCTCGCCTTCTCAGCAGCTTTTCTATCTGTTTCCTCCTTTGATGTAAGCAAATATTCTAGCCTATCGAATATCTCATTTTCAGCGCGTGGAACGTGTTGCCGTGAACTACCATAGCGCACCGTCTCTTCGTCATCGCGCTCTGATGACTTCTGCCGATGCACACCAGTATCGACAGTCGGATTACTGCTTCTCTTCGCCTTGGAGTCCGGACGTCGTGTATGCGCAAATGATTCCGCAAAGGGAATCCGTCGTTCTTGTGGCTCGCTGTGACGTACCGACCCTTTGCCTTTTTCCTCGGACGGTGTTCTTGCATAAGCTTCAGTATCCACTGTAGAGTAACCATCTTCGCTTGCGGAGACAATCTCGATTCCTTCAGTATCCGCTGTAAAGTAAACATCTTCGCTTGCGGGGAAGACCTGGATTCCTTCAGTATCCGCTGTCGAATACCCATCTTCGCTTGCGGGGAAATCCTGTGATCCCTCATGCGCAGACAACCTCTCGGTCGCATTCCAGCTCCACGTCGGTTTCAGACTCCGATGATCTAGCACATCTCTGGCCAACGCACAAGACATCTGCTGCATCTCGACGATCTGTGTACAGTTTTGAGCAGCCTGGAGGGCGCAGTCACCTTCGTCATAGTCCCCGCTTTGGAAGATGGTTGAGTCGTGCCTTTTAGTAATGTTTTGTTGTGTTGCACCACGTACAACCAACTCTCCGCCCGCACCCGGTGTCGCGTCTCCGGCGTCTCCGGCGTCTATTGCAGTGCTGGGATCCAGGGTCAGCGTAAAGGAAGAACCGTCGTCTTGCTGGGCATCTCGATGATGACATAGACACTCTGTAGCGTCTTCCGCGAACTTAATGTTGCTCTCGACCTGTGTTTTCAGACTCTCGCTGTACAAACGTCAGCATGATACTGCTACCGCAACTTTATGCTGCCTACCTGATAGAGTCCGGGGCATCTCGCTGCAGTACGACAGCCAAGTTCATGGTAGAAACAAGGACGATGATGGTGGTCTTGAACGAATCCACCAAGCTTTTGACAAACATGACCTTAGGCCCAACCTTCATCCACCTAAATCGGAACCGTATGAGCGAAATGGTGAAAGCACGCCGTGAAGGATCATGTTGAACTGGCTCTCCGATAAGCATTCTCAGGTCTTCGATAAGGGTTTGGCATGCGGCAATCAAGACGACGGTGATCTCGCGAAGCTTTTCCGTCTTCGAGTGTGGCAGATCCACGACCATACTCAATTGCGTGAGCGAGCTCGAAAAGACAGAAATGTCTGCGGCGATGAGCCTGGCTTCGTATTCTGCAGACTTGATAACATTAGCGACTTCGAGGAGCGTTCGGGCTAGTTGCGCGCTCGCGCCTGCCAGGGTGATCAGGGAAGCTGCCAACCCGATGATTTCTGCCATTGTCGTGAAGCCGTGGAAACCGCGTCGGGAACCTCGCGACTATTGTGATGATAAGATAAATACATTAAAGCGTCTGTGTGTACCAGATTCATGTCGCTGCGCCTCCTCAAGGCTGAGATGCATACACTGGCTGTGCCGCATGAAGATGCCCCGCACTGGCGAGGGTACTCAGCCACGCTGCACCACCACCAAGCCTGCCTTGAATGGCAAGAACCACCGGTGCAGAAACTCGTCCACTGGAGTAAACACATGCAATGACTGAAAAACGCAGACAAGCGAATCTCTCGCCCTATCCACTCTCCACATCCGCAGCTTTCGTCTCAACCTTAATCTCCGGCCCCTCAATCTTCTTAACCTTCCTCCCCTCCCACCACGACATAATCCCCGCAAACATCGCAACCCCACACCCCAACGCAATGAAAGTCCCCGTCGCCCACGTCGGTCTCTCCAACCGATCATAATGCCACATGAAGAAACAAAGCACAGCCTGCAACAGCGTATTCAAAACCATCATATCAACCGTAAAAGCCAGTTTCCACATCGCCGTCGGCGGCGCCCTCTCCCCCGTAAACGTCTGCGGCATCAACTCCTCCTCGCCCCTCCACCCCTCATTCTCCGTGAACCAGGCCGGCGGCCGGAACCAAGCTTTGTTCTGGTTCCAAAGCCGGCGCATGGCGTTTGAGTCGTGGAAGTGGACGGCGCGGATGGACCAGTAGAAATCGCGGAAGCGCCAGGGTGCGAGGCCGAAGCCCGTGACGCAGAAGAGGGCGTTGAGGATTTGGCTGTCGATTTCGAGCCAGATTTTGCGGGAGCTGTAGTCGTCGTCGCAGCTGGGGTGGCACATGGCGGGCGCGGCGTTGAGGAGCAGGAAGAAGAGCATTGCGCCCCAGGCCTTGGATTGTTAGTGCAAGGAGGGGTTAATGGGGCGAGCGCGTACGTACGACGATGTTGAGGCCGTATATGGTGATTAGGAAGCCGGAGGGGGTGAGGAAGAAGACCCAGAAGGCTTTTAGACCGTGCTTGATGGTAGGGCCCCATGGCTCCTTGTCCGCAGACGCGTGCTTCTCTTTCAACGTTCGTCGACGGTGGAGTCCATGTCCATGAGGCCTGCGCGCCCTCTTCCCAGTCTTTTCGTCTACCTCACCCTGTACAATCGCGTCTGTGGCTGGCTGGTCAAGGATCCTAGTCTGGGATTTGACCAAGGTGAGCTCTCCGTCTTCGTCTGGAACCGCTACTCGAGTGGCATGGCCATGCGCATCGAACGTGATGTTTGACCCTCCAGACTCTGGCTCTCGTAACTCTGTCAAGTTCGGTGCTTGAGCCATTGCCGTCGCCGTGGCCTGCCACATGCCCAGCTGCGGTGTCGTGTGCAGCAACGACAGCGACACTCCACGCGCCCGCCCAATGATGCCCTTCTCTTCATTTTCGGCCATGGTTGGGTGAGTGTGCGCGACCGGTGTTGCGTGCGATACGGAGTCGTATGTGCAGGTCGATGATAATGATTAAGATGGTCACTGTCGGTTCACATGTCATCGACCCTCCGCTTAATCCCGCGGCGGCGTTGAGCTAGAGGTCGTGACGCCTTTGTAGGCGGCGCTCGGCCACAATGTGATAGGCTTTGTCCCTGCGGGCGATCATTGCGCCGCGATGCGACGTGCTCGAATTCGGGTCCAGACTATTGAGACGTTCACGGCCGAGCACAATTTGTTCGTGCGAAGGTTTGCTGGGGGCGGTTGATCGCCTGGGCGGGCGTGGCAACGCGACGTGTTTGGCTCGGTTGGCCGTAGAAGATCCGCGGGCTGCAGATTGGGTACCGAACAAGTAAGAGGTGTAAGCGTGCGCTAGCGACAGTTGAGAAAGACTGATTACTCAAACCAACGTGGAAGCATGTTGATGCCCGTTAATCATCTCGTCATCTTCCATGTCCCTATACTTTGACAAGGACTTGATGTAGCAGCCGCGTGCAGCCGGTATCGCAATGCCTCTCAACTTCAGCTCCAGACAGAAGCGCGGCGAGTACCATGACGGGAAAGCGCAAAGTACCGGAAGAGTCAACACGTTCGGCCAGGTCGCTATACAATTCCACAGGAACACGACGCATCTGAAATACTGGTTCGACAAGCTCCAGAAAGATTCCGCGGCATGCCGACCGCCGGGATGCGCAAAACCGCGAAGAGGCAGCACGACTCTGGTGGATGATTTCATCAGCGACAAGACCAGCAGTATCGACGCACCACGACTGAACATCGCGATACATATCTGCGGGTCTCGCGGCGATGTGCAGCCTTTCATTCCGATTGCGAAGCTGTTACAAGCTGCGCCACATCACCATCGAGTGCGCATCTGCACGCATCCAGCCTTTAAGGACTTTGTGGAAAGCAACGGGGTGGAGTTCTTCTCCATTGGAGGCGACCCCGAAGCACTCATGGCTTACATGGTGAAGAACCCAGGGCTACTACCAAACATGCAGTCCATCAAAGCCGGCGAGATTGGCAAGCGACGAAAAGAGATGGCCGAGATGATGGAGGGGACCTGGAGGAGTTGCATCGAGGCGGGTAATGGCATGGGTGAGAGGATTCCAGCGTTAGACGTGGACGCGCCTGAGGATCTGTTCATCGCAGATGCGATTATTGCCAACCCTCCGTCCATGGGCCACATTCATTGCGCGGAGAAGCTTGGCATTCCGCTGCACATGGTCTTCACCATGCCATGGTCGCCAACAAAGGCTTTCCACCACCCCCTAGCGGCCATGGAATATGGCGAAGTTGAGAGGTCGGTCGCGAACTACTTCAGCTTCGGCATCATGGAATTGCTCACTTGGCAGGGTCTCGGAGATG